ATTACATGCATTAACAGAAGCTAAAGTCATCAAATTGTGGAGCACCAAAGAGCTACAAAATCTGTCACAAAATTAGTCAAAAGTAATTCACTGTAGTATCAGAATCTGAGATCCTACACTAGGAGGGCTGACCAAGTATCACCCAGGTTGCTAGCTGACATGCTCGCATAAGCATACATGACATGGCGAGGATGTCTGTGTTTTGTTGCAACATCTGGTATCTCTCCCTGTCAACTTCATGCTTGTGAAACAAGAGATGCTGAAACATGCAAGGCCCTCTCCATATTTTGAGCTTTTTAACAGACAACATATCTTTTAAACTGTCAGCTATGTAATCCATTCACTCCTGCATGTTAGCCACCTTCCTGGTCTGAAAAGACATGTTTAAGGACGCTCCTATGCTCAACACTCAGTATGGAGGACGTAAAGACTAACACTTTTATGATGTTTAGTGTTTGCATATGACCTTTTTCACCACTCTTCCTCAAAGCTTCTTTATTTTTACTGAAGAGTCTTGATATCTTCAATAAACATTTATGTAAGTAAACTGTAGTCCTTTTAAACCTTCCTACTCCTGCCCCATTCCCCAAAATTAGTCATCCTTGAAAACCAGGCCAATAACAAATTAGCAAATATTTGATTAGTGCAGTTCAAAGATCCACTCTTTAAATCGAGATCCACATCTTTAGCTTTGATAAAATTATGTTCTACAAGTCAAGCCAAACCTATACTTCAACAATATAGCCTCAACAATAACTAAAGCTACACATTCAGGTTTCTGATAATACTGGGTTAGCTATTTTATAGTAAAGCTAAACAAAATTGTTATTTTTATTTAACTAAATGCTGTCTTACTGTCATCTGTTGAAGGGAGAAGCCAATGTCAGAGGCTTCAGAGAGAAACTAATTCAAAAGCATTGCCTTAAGTTAAATGTTATCCGTATCTACAACTATCATTGCAAGAAAATGCAGAAGATTTATATTAGCATAGTCAAAAGTTTAAGTGACCCTTCCCCCCTTCACCCTCCCAGGAGACTTAAATGAATGCAAGATGCTACATCTTTAGAAAAGCATACCTCAGCCTAAAATACTCATCAAGGTATATCCAAAGAAAAAAATTGAGAGAATATTCCAGTATCTGCTATTCTTACGTTGATACGTGGGTCACTATATATAAGTTGTTTCCTCATATCTAGGAAGTGGTACAATGAGGAAAAAACATATACTTACTGTAGGCTGAGGCGGTCCTTTGCCACTGCTGCGACCTCTGAAATTAAATACATACATGGGATACGATTAAAAGAACTACCGAAACTGGTTAATTTCCTAACAAGTAAGAATTCAAAAACCCATCTTAATTTAGTGTTGAGAATGGATCAGAGAAAAACAGCACCCCCCTAGAGCAGAACTTGACAACTACAGGGCCCACAGCATTTATCCTCCAAACTACAAACCTACAAGCAAGTAACATTGGTTCGTAGGCAAGAGGGTTACCTACAATAAATTACAAGGACAAAATGAAGAAAATACTAAGCCTATGTCATCATAAAAATCCAAAAATATTCTCTCTTAAGCAGAATCCTATAACTAAAGCAAATTCCAAAACTCACTGGCACACAAAACCAAAAACCACTTTCAGGCCCAACCCCTACTTAGCACAGAGCCCCTTCTCCAAGACTAGAGGCTCAGTACAGCAGCACTGTCCGTCTGATCAAGGGCTGATATAACTGATATACCCAAATAACTGACCCATGCCACAAGCTGCAGAGGAGCCCTGATTGCAAGGCCCTACCTACAGAGCTTGCTTATCAGTACTACCACAAGCCAGCAAGTGAAACTAATTAAGTCTGTCCATCCCCTCAAAAACACTAACTACTTTTAATGCAAAACTGTCAATGTGTAGCACTCGGGACACTTCAAAAAGCTTCTGAATTAACCTGTATGCTCTTAATATCTTGCAAACTGAGATGTAACAGTCTGTGCCCTCCACCTCCCCGCAGCTAGCAAGTCCGCAACTGAGACAGTTCTTCAACTTCACTGGTTATTTCAAAGTTACTTCCTTGCACCAAGAAGTCCTAGTTTCAAATATTTCTCATAGCGGTTTAGATTTGTATCACGACGACTTCATGAGTGTACACTGTAATGTGAGGCAAAATGAAGTTTTCTGTTCTATAAAAAAAAAAAATTTTTTTTAAAAATAGACCCACCTTACAGATGCACAACCATTTAATTAGAGGCCCAAAGAATCACGTTTACGTTTCAAAATAGCCAAACACCACTGAAATCTAAATCCAACTGAATGTCAACTGCATTCAATCGCTTTTGAAAATGCTATGCTGTGGTTGTATACAACCTTGCTCTCAAAACAACATGCCCTTATAAATAGGGCTCATGAGTTAGTCAAGAAATCAAAGGAACTTCTCCCAGTAAACATAAATATCCCTCCAATAAATTCTGCAGAAATAAGCAAGTCCATCAGAGAACCATGAAAGGCCTTAATGAGGAAAAAATGAAAAACCACTAAACTATCACCTGACTTGTTTAGGAAAACAAGCTTCTGAAACAGAAATGTAGTCTCATACAGCCTCACGCACACTGATGACATTTGCTGATTGGCAATAACTGCAAATTTCAGATGTCTAGCTGCCATTTTCAGAATACTTAGAGAGTACTAATCTCATTAAAAAAACCTAATGCAGATAGCCTTTATTTAATTACCTATCAGTCTTAACTTTCCATAAGGCAGCATCACAACTTCAGGCTTGCTCTGGAGACAAGCAAGTCTCACCAAGTCTGTCATTTGTCAAATGGCTACCTATAGCACAATGCTGAAGTGAGCCCTTTGTGAACCTGGAACATAATTTTTGCATAATATTCAGATGTATGATCCTCTTCTTTCTGAAAGTCATTTCACCAGATGTGAAACACTCAAGTAAAAGAGAGGTACAGTCCAATTCTGATTTTTCCTTTTATTGCCATCAAAAGCATCAACAACATGGTCTTTCAAAGAACATGGCCGAAGTCAATTTCACCAGTTCCCTCTGTTGGTCTCAAAGATTTTAGAAGATACTCCTTCCTGCATCAGCTATAGAAATGGTCAAAAGTGAAAGAGCTGGGTATCTTTGAAATAGAAAGCCCTCCCATTTTTAGTGATAAGTATTCTTAGAACTTAAAATAACTGGGTTGCTAGACTGGTCAGAAAGTTTGCAGTATTCCTTTTAAGCATCAACCTAAGCGTTCTAGATTTTCCATCTCTTACCACATTTCCAAAAGTACTGTTCCTACCCACACTTCTTTAAGAAATAATCCGATTGTGCGCATCCACACTGGCAAGAGGTCCTAACTTCTACATCAGACCAAGACTCAAGCTAATTGCAGAAATTATATATCCTATTCTGATCTAACAGATCTCTTTACAGACCTGACCTCTTTTTTTCCAGCTACAACTGTTAAACACAAACCCTTACAAAAAAGAAAGACATTCACCAATTCTGCCAATGCTACAATGCAATCAATACTGTATCTTCTGCTAAAACCAAGGTCATCAACTTGAGGTTTATATTCCAACAGGTGAAGCTCAAGTTCAAACTACCCTTTGACACATCTTTGATGCATCATATGAAAAAAACAAGGACCTTTACAAAAGCAGAAAGTAGATGATCTTTGCCAGAAGTTTACCACAATTTAAAACAGGAGAGTAACACTAAAAAATGGAGGTGGAGGAAACCAGAAGGGTCAGTAGCAATTTGGCACTACTACCTAAAACCACATCTTGATTACAGTAAGTATGGCAAATAAAAAACATACATTTTGTATTGCAGAAATGTGGTTAAAGGTAAGCCTGGGAGAAGGCACAGCAGCTTGGCAAATCCAACTTGTAAACCCTTTGCTTTGGGGTAGCAAAGTCACAGAGTCAGAAAAATACTGCACCAGACAAAGTAACGACCAAACAATTAAACTTAGTAGCCAACTCATTGCAGGTCAGCAGTTACATCTTAAAAGTGAAAGTCTCCATAAAGGCTTAATCCCAAATGCTGCACAACAAACATTTTTCCCCAGCAGCAACTTGCAAATTTTCTTCTATTTTTATGAGCATTTACTATCCTATTCCTCAGCATCCCTCACCTCCCACCCTAATGTTTACATGCCAAGTAAAGCATTTGTATAAGCAAAACAAGGTCACGCATTTATATTTTTCCAGTTAAGTGAAAACTTATGCAAGGGACACAGGTCTTTTCAGGATGTGAAAGAAAGTCTCGGGTTTTCTCCCCAGCAGCATCTTTACTTTGAGACTAAGAAACGAATACAACCACACTGCAATTAATGTCTAGCAGAAGTGCAACTACAAAGACTGTTGAATTTAACAGTGAATGGATGTTTCTGGAGCACTGGCTGACACTACTACAGCTTTGAAAACAAATTTACAGAAGAACTTTCATTACAAGTGCAGAAAGCCGGTAAAGCTTTCTTCTAAGGGAGAAATCAGAAGTACAAAGTTTTATTTAAGTGCAGTGTTTGTCTATATAACTCAAATGAATAGAAGCTGTCAAGTTAAGATTATACAAGAAGTCCTGCAGTATTGTTTTCTGTAGTTTTTCCCCAATACTGACATTAATAATGTCAACTCTTGTCTTCTTATAAGATGACAACTTCTGTAGCACCTGAATATGTAAGTAACCTGACTGAAGTCTGCCCACATCTGTAACCTGCTGATGGACTTAGTCATTGAAGAACCTTCTTCATATACATTGCCATGAATCAGTTGTTAAATTAAAACTTACTCAAAAGCGGGTATATAATATCATACTAAAGGGCATTAACAGCGATAAGGAAAGAGACCTGCAGGTTATCCATTCATTTTGCTCAGCAGTTTAGCACAGTTGCATTAAAACCAACACACACAAAGATGTTAGAACAAACTAGAAAAACTCCAAATGGCACGTGTGATCAAACCTCTGGAACAGCCACTTCCATTATATCAGAGCACCTCAGCACTCACTATTCCAAATTACTTCTGTCTGAAGAGAATGGACACCTCTCTTCTGCCCTTTACTTACGTCTTTAGTTAGGCTAATAAAAAAGGCTGTCAAGGAAAAAGGAAAGCAAGACTAGCCAAGAAGTGTTAAGTCTCAAAAGCAAGCTAGGCAACATGGGATCATTTTAGTTTTAATGGGCAAAGCCATTTATAAAAGATAGTAACTTACAGCGTTCTTAAAGGACTCCCAAGTCCAGTTCGGCAAGAAAGTTACCAAATAAAAAGGAAAAAGACCTTCTGCCACAATTGTAACTAGACACATAACCATCCAAAACCTGAGTCTGAGGTGTTTTGCCTTCAGACAAAATAACAACGGGGAAAAATTGATAACAAAAAAGGATGCTTGAAGGAATGCTGGGACTGATGCAACTTTCAATCACAGGACAGCTAACCTTCCTGTGCTTGTGTAAGGGCAAAACTGAACTAAAACATGAAACGTAGATATTAGATAATGTTTTAACTAGCACAGTGGAGCAGGTTTGTGTATGAGGTCTACGTTTTCTCCTAATTACAGTTCAACGTACTATTGGCATCCCCCCCACAGCCCGATTTCCCATCTGCCATATTGCACATGCAGTTGCTATTAAACAAACATAGCATTTCACTTAGTGCCTCTTTATAAAAAAAAGGCATTAATCCTTCTTGCTTGTTTTTCTTGAGCACCTTTAAAGATACCTTAATTTGTGATTTTTCTCCTCATGCAAAAGAAATTAATAATATCATGAAAACAAATACTGGAATGTCTTACTTGTTCACACAAGATTTTACCTTTTCTAATACGAAATACATATATCCATCATTATGAAACCATGGAAACAAACATAGTGAGCAAAGCTGACCCTCCACTCACTATCAGACATAGGAGGACCAGGTGCTTAGCCAAATTAAGTCTTATAGTAATAAACACACAGCAGAAAATTAGGTCCAGGACAGTTAACTATCAATAAGCTTTCTATCCAAACCTAAGGCTTTAAGAGCAACTTAGCCATGAAAAGTAACATTCTTTTGCATCTCAAGAAGATAAGAAAGAGAATGCTAGGGAAACGAGCTGCTAGGAAGCAAGCTTGGCATAAACTGCAGATGTTTAAGTTTCTATTAAATAATATAATGCTTCAAATTGAAACCAGAATGAAGGCCAGCTAAAAAACAACTTGATTTTTCAAACAGAAAAGCCACTTAGCTTTTCATCTACGTGAACACATTTGCAGCATGAACCATCTTTGAATCTGTAC